TGCTAACAAATCAAACCTGGGAGGTCCATGGAGTGAGCCATCAAAAACTCTTGTGCAGCGTTTCTCTTTTACAATTCTCTTTCTGTTGGGACGAACTACATGTACTATTTAGTTCAAATGAAATAAAATAGCTTCAACTCACAATGTTTACTAGATCATTCATTGTTCATTGCGGAGAGATATTGCACTGCACCTGGCTTTGGATTGGCATATACAGTAGTTAATAAAGTGTAACAGACTATGATCAGATACGGGTGTTCAGTTTATTTTTGTACAGCCCTAAATTGCAACAAGTTGTTGATTTGCTAACAACAGATCAGAGAATCACAGAGAATCACAGGAAACACAATATTAACAAACAAAAATTACTCATAAAACTGTGGGAAATGTGAAAAACCATGGGGAGGCCCGAGAGAGGGATCCGCTCCTGCAGAAAGTTTGGCCATATTTAGAAATAACTTTTTTCTTTTTTTATATAAATGGATAGATTATAGAACTTCAGTGAAGTTGTGGTAAATTATTATCATATATTGAAATGGCAGAGAACACCATTTCCAGCAATCATTCAAGTCTTCAAATGATACATGTGTCAAATGGCTAATTTAGTCCTTTCACTTTATTCATTAAGCACATTTCACAAACACACAGCTGCCAATGCATTTGCTTTCAGTTCAGTTCCATCATACCCGTCAGAGGAACCAGTGATATCACAACTATGAAAAAGCAATAAATGCAATCAGTCAAATAGAATACACATAAAAATTGGTGATTAGAAAACCTGTGTCCAATGGATTATTGAATACAGCAGAGCATGAAAGTGTTGAAGTATTCAGAATCTGGACCACCACTCAACAAATGAGGAGGTAGAGAATAGTACTAACTCCTGACTCATCCACATGACCTGCTGTGAAGTGCTGTCTGCTGACGTGGTTCCGATTCAGGAATCTTACGTTTTATTTTTAATAAGAAGCTATTTGAATAGTTAATAAAGTGGAATACCCTGAATCAAAAATAATTCATTGGAAACACATTCAAACCACCAGCATGTGTATACAGTAAGCCTGATCCTGTCAGACCTCAGAAGCTAAGCAGAGCAGGGCCTGGTTTGTACTGTGATGTGATGTACCTCTGGGAACTCCAGGTAAGACGGCTTCGGATGTAAAGTGCCAAACTGTAGCTGTGTCCTTTGGCAAGGCACTTTACCCACATTATTTAGAATGAGTCCGGTGTTTGTGTGAATTGGTGGTGCGTCGGAGGGGTTGATGGCACAGATTAATAGCCTTGCTACTGTCAGTCTGCCCCAGGACAGCTGTGGCTACAGTGATAGTTTACCACAGTTGTCTACGCAGAGAATGAGTAAGGCCTCTTCTTTGTGTCATGAAAAAGCGCTGTATAAGGACTATACATTAAATCTAAAGTATAACAAAAGTCAAAGCCAGATGTCTTTACGATTTTGGAACATTTGAAATAAATATATCAACATTTTCATATCTGGTTGTCAATGGACATCAAAAGTGTCTGCAGGCTGTGAAGTTTGTATACCAATGTTTTCATTTAAATATCTAAATAGTATGATCCTGCATTACAGCCGGAGTAACTTTTATAAATTTACTGTGATAAAATCTATTTACTGAGTACCTTGCACTCATTCCATCACTAGTTTTCACATTCATTTATTTGTGGCCTCTGTCACATCTTTAGATTTTCATAGTCAAAAGACTAAAGACCTCCCTCCCCAGCTCCCCATCCAAAGGGCTCTTTCTCACAAAGGATGTAATGTTTTATGATTAGATGAGGCTTGTTATCTTATATGTTCACAGTTGTATAAATCTGTTCAACATGTGTAAAAAACATGTAGAAAAAGGTTGGGTACTACAGCTTTGATCAAAATAAAGACTATCAATCTCAACAGGATCTCTCGCGTCTATGAACTGGTCTTTGTCGCCATCTTGTGTCTGACTTATGTTATTGGATCTTGGGATTGGCAATATTAAACTTTATTACAGACACAAAGTCCAGATAAGAAAGACATTACACAAAAACGTGAGGAGCTAGAGAATAGTACTAACGTGACTAGAACGTGAGCTTTTTTAAATCAAATTTGTGATGAATGTTAATAGTCACAAACAGGTTATGGTTGGGGTTTTGTCTTTTACAGGGGATCTGGGGGTCTTCAGAGAACAAAGGAAAGTGTGAGTGCATTGAGCTTCACCCCCTCACGTGTTCTTGCCAAGTTGCTCTAAGTGTATTGTGAGATTTCATAACACTTTTAAACAACTTTTGTTAAGGTTAAACTCATCATTCTATCAATGTGCAGAAGCCTGTACTTTTCCACTTCATGTTCAGACTATCTCTGCTGGCACCGTGGAAGCTGCTGATTGGAGGTCTCCATGCCTCCGCTCTGTATAATACACTTGCATTCTGTTGTATCTGTTGTTCGTGCTGTCTCTACCATCGACAATAAAACATGTCTTCTGTCTGAATTAAAGACGCGATCCCAGACTATGTCATCTTCTTCAGGTGGTGGAAGGATGCGGGCATTGTCTGTAACATCTAGAGCAGTGTCTCCCAAAGTGGGGTCCGCGGCCCCCTGGTGGGCCGCGAGGGTACTGCAGGGGGGCCGCGGGAGGTCATAAAAATAAATAAAAAGAATATATAATTATTTAATGTTGAATTTATAATGTTTTGTTTGTAATATTAAAATATTTGTGTTCATTATTTGACTTGAATAATCCACTGTAATCATTTTTGTATTACAATGTTTGTAGCAGAGGCTATTTCCCCAAAATAAAATAACCAGAAGAGCCTATTCTTAATGTTGTCTTCTTGGTTATTATTTTGGGGGGCCACGCAGACCCGTCAGATTTTTAAGGGGGCCTCGGTGTTACTGAGTTTGGGAATGGCTGATCTAGAGAACAGAAGACTACTTTTTTTTACACAAAAAGTGTTTTTTTTTTAAGCCAAAACTGAGAAACCTCAAGAGAATGCATCTGGACCAGCACACTTGGACAATCTGCACAGCCCCTGATTCCAGTCAGGCTGTGAGCTGCTGAGACATGGACAACACCATCGTCCTCTTTTGCATGGACATGATTTGGAACAATTGGATTTCTGAATTTGGACATAATTTGGATTGAATTGAATTGCTGAATCTGGACACTAAAGCTGAAACGTGTGATTGAAAGACACGTCACAGAAGAATTCACTGCTATGGCTCGACACAAATGCAGCCTGAAGAAACCAACACAGAGAAGTGGGAGAGACTGTTTTCAAAGCAATATCTGGAACCACCATCGACTGATGAAGTTTGGTATTTTACTGAAGATTGTTGACAAGTTTTATGAAAGATCTGAACATGTTTTATGAGTTTTCTGAGTTTTTGAAGTATTCCGAGTTCTGAGTTTTTTGAAGTACAGAGTGAAGTACCGAGTTTAAGTATTGAGTGATGATGTTATGTTGCTGTTTATCGATCCTGATGGTCACACGTGAATGTGTGACCAGAGGGGGGGAATGTGAGATTTCATAACACTTTTAAGCAACTTTTGTTAAGGTTAAACTCATCATTCTATCAATGTGCAGAAGCCTGTACTTTTCCACTTCATGTTTTGACTATCTCTGCTGGCACCGTGGAAGCTGCTGATTGGAGGTCTCCATGCCTCCGCTCTGTATAATACACTTGCATTCTGTTGTATCTGTTGTTCGTGCTGTCTCTACCATCGACAATAAAACATGTCTTCTGTCTGAATTAAAGACGCGATCCCAGACTTGGCACATCTTCTTCAGTATGTTTGTACACTATACGTTATTGTAAGTAAGTAAGTAAGTAAGCTTTATTTATATACCGCCTTTCACAGACCAGAGTCACAAAGCGGTTTACAATTGTTATTTTTTGGGCATTTGTCCTTTCACTCCACACAGAGATGGGAGCGGGGTGGCACGATGGAGGGGTTTGCGCTTGTGCGAGCTTGCATGTTCTCCCTGTGTCTGCAAGTCTCCTCCGGGTGATCAATATGCCTGAATGTGATGGTTAGGGACTTTGATGCGCCATCTCGCTCCTGTCATCACTGTGTGTCAAGTGAATGGTAATGACAAAATTGGAAAGCACTGTGTGTTCTTCTTACTCTCTGTGGGAGCATTTGACCCATCTCTAGATGTTGATGCTCTGCTTGGTCAAGACCACTGGACCACATTTGTGGGTATGGGACAATAATAGATTTATAGATCTCTCTAAAATCTTGGCTTTTCGTCCAGCAGAAAGTTCCACCCTTACCTTCCCTCAACCCTAACCTGAACTTGATTGAACAACAAAAACAACAATTGTAAACCGTTTTGTGACTCTGGTCTGTGAAAGGCGGTTTATAAATAAATACTACTTACTTACTTACTTATTGTGGCTATAAACCCGTATCACACATTTGAATGAAACAAATTTCCCTCTGCCCTAAACAAAAACCAAAGACTTCCATGGCTCTAAAACACGAACCAGTGTTTTGTCGCCACCCTGTGTCTGACACCCGCTATTGCATCTTCCCCACAGCTCTGCGTCACGTTCCTGTCCAGAGTGTGCGTGCGCGGCCCCGACACCGCCTGTGATCTCTCAGCTGTCTGCCCTGTGGCACGCGCACTGTCCCCCTGTACTGAACTGTCCACCGTCCACTCTACAACTCATCTCTTACAACTTAAAACCCGCATTATGCCCAGCCCCAGCGCTAACAGCCACTCCCGGGCGGACCATGGCTGCTGTGTGCCGCTGAGGAACGCTTCATCACATTGTTGAATTTGTTGGGAATGGTTAAACAGGCGAACAGGTCTTTTCTGTGGTAGCAAATGCTGCGAATGCTAACGGATGCTAACGGTGATGCTAACTGGAGGGATGTAGCAGCAGCAGCAGCAGCAGCGGCGGCGGCGGCGATGCCAGAATGGACACATGAAAACGTATGATTTTTGGATATTTACACATTATTAGTTGCCAGGTTTGTCAAGCGATGGGCCAGTGAGATATGAGCGCTTTCAACATACCGAGTGGTTCCGCTACGGTGGACCTAAGCGGCGCCAATAACAACAACCAGGACTGGGCTTACCCGTACCCGTGCGGAAACATGAGCCCGATGGAGGAGACACTGCAGGCGGGCATGTCCTCGGTACAAGCGGGTCTGGACGTGGGACATCTCCGCGGACTGGGGGCCAGCCAGGAGCATCTGCTGTTGGATTTAGGGTCCCCGCCTGGGTTTCTACAGGGAGGGTCGCAGGCAGAGGTGGGTAATGAATAGTTGGTTAACCAGATGTATGTACTGTAGAGTAAAATCGTACTTCTCAGAGTTGACCGGATACCATTTTATTAAATAACTGATCTACGTGTGTTCATATTTGACTGTGTAATGACATACTAGCTTGGACTAAAGTTTACTCTTCCTAATGAAACATGAACGTCATGTCAGATACTAATAACAATTGTTATCTTGCTATGTGGCCTTCTTATACTAGTTCTGATAACTATCGCAAGGCCTACTTGTACAGTAAGCGTTGTAGTCTCAACACTAATGTTGGGATTCACTCTACGGCTGTAACAAGTTTATCAATCGCAACTAATATAATATTTAAATAATCAAATAATTTCGTATTGGATTCATAGTTTTTGAATCATACACGGATTTAAACATGGCATGAAGAGGTTGTATGAATCCTGCATATCTACTGCAGAATTACAAATGTATTGAATTTCATAAACATAATACAGCACTAATTCATCCCCAAATCTAATCTTTACTAGACCATGATAAGAACTGACCCAAACCAAATGTAATCAGGACAAAGATGGATTCAAGGAAGAGTAATAAAAAAAAAGACCTCTCCATTGTACAGAACTGTATATTTTTTTCTTATATGAGTCATTTCTTCGATCAGTAGCTCTACCTCTTAAGTCTCATTCCCGCAACAGACTGGTGTGTCAAAAGTGACACGGCATTTAACCCTTCTTCGACTGATCGTTTTTGACTCATGGTTGACAGGGATCCAAACACTCCAACCTTTGCCACTGTTGCCTGTATATAAATGAACAATGCTAACCCCCTAGCTCAATAACGCTCAAAAAGGGGAAGTCCTCATGGACAAAGTTTTGGTTCAACTCGCTTCGGCTATTATAGCTCAGCAACAGTTAGTGCCACACGCATCTCTGTGATCTTGTTTTTAAGTTTTGATTGTGTGGTAGATTGTATCTTAAATCCAATTAGCAACTACTGACGAATCCCTTTCCTTGCATCCCAGCGTTTGGCTTTAGCGAGTGAGTAGCAAGAGTGAAGACGGACCAGTCTTGGTTGCTTGATCATTGCTACCCACAAAATATGCATACATTTTGCTTCAGATTGCCTGTCTAGCTTCAGATTCTTGCTCAAATATCCTGTTTAGCCTAGCTCTATTCGGCTATTTTCACAAAAAAATGCAAATCCTATTGTTGACGTCAGCAGACAGCCAGTCCACTCCTGCATGCCAAAAAACAAAGAGGCCGTAGTGTGAAAAGCATTAATTAGTAACATACTAGTAACATTATTTAGAGGTAGAGGTCTTTCACAAGAGTAGTTTTTCACGGCTTTCTCTTGCCTTTGGTCCCAGGAGTCCAGTGACAGCGAGGGGAACTTTGCGGCTCAGTACGAGGGCAGGAGGAAGAGGTCTCGCTCCAACAGCTCCAGACACCGCTTCCATGACGTGGTGACGGAGCTCGGGCCGGAGGAGGTGCGCTGGTTCTACAAAGAAGACAAGAAGACGTGGAAGCCCTTCTTGGGACACGACTCGCTCAAGATCGAGTTGGTGTTTAGGAAGTATTGTGAGCTGAACCCACGGACTACGGAGTCCCAGGTTAGTGATGTCAATCATTTGAAAAGGGTGGAATACCAAGTCGTTTTTTGCCTGTTTTATTGCCGTGGTACCTCCAGAGCTTCTGAAGAGGCCCTGACACATGGCGAGAAATCGATCATAATTTACTGCATGTGTGCACAGCCTTGTCGCACCTTCTCCCTTGTGATCTTATGGCATGATAACGTGTCCTATTCCTTAGAATCAGCATGCAATTTTAGTGTCTGCCACTTTGACCTCCAAGGTCATTGTGACTTGATGATTTTTATCTCCATCTTTGACACAACAACAACAAAAATCTAAATCTTCATTTGCAACGTCAAATAGATAAGTATTGTTTTCACATAAGTGTACTGCATGTGAGCAGCTTCATACACTTTAATCCCTCTTGCCTGAAAACATTCACACTGAATCTGTTTTAGAACCCTTTGGAGTACAAACAAATGGCTGGAAGAAGCCATAAGCTTCTTTTTCAGATATTGATAGTCACATTGTATTTTTGAATGTGTTGACTTCATGTATTGTTTTTTTTGCTCCATCCTGACCCCGCCTCTCCTCTCGTGCCCTCGTCCAGGTCAACAACGCCGACGACGAGTTCCCAGGTAACGGCGTGGAGAGCAGGGGTCTGAACGGGACTAGTCCGGCGGACTCCAAATCTAGCGCAGCGCAGTCTCCCCAGAACTCGATCGACGCGTCCACCCTGTCCCCCAGCCACAGGGACCTGGACGGCATGGTGGTGCCGCTGGAGCCGGTCTGTGTGCGCGGCGGCCTGTACGAGGTGGACATCATCCTCAGGGAGTGTTACCCAGTCTACTGGAAACGTGAGTCAACACATACAAAGTTTGTTTGTTGGATTATCTGAGACTTATTTTAAGCTGCAGGTAATTGACTAGCAGCAGAAGCACATTTCCCCTGTTCTCTGCAACTCACCCTGGTTTCCAATTTCATTTTTGAGTGCAATTCAAAATACTATTGATCGTCTGCAAATGGCGGCCCTCCACTCTATTCAAAAGAGTTTGCTTGTTCTACCCATGCCTGCGCAGGTTTTCATTACCACTCAAATCTTCATAAAACAAGAGGAGAAGGATTTTACCCTGACAATATTCAAGGACATAACTAATACATCACATGGTTTCTGTTAAGCTGAGCCTGTATACACGATGGTCACCTCTGTATTAACTTGTCTAACCACTGAATACTTGTCTGGTGTATGTCTGACCACAAGAAGTATACAGAATTAGAACTATCTAATAATAAAATCTAGTTCCTCATCTCTCAGCCCATATGCGTCAAATAGTCCGTCACTTGACCCTTTCTTATATTCTTTGACTCTTATACAAACTAACATGCTTTTTTATATGACGTAGAGGGCAAAATGTGTTCTGATTTTAATTCCATGTTAGGAGTATTCTTATTATAAAACTTTTTTAAAGAAGAAACTGGTTCGTCAGTAGCAAATATGAATGTCCTTAAAGGTTAAAACACATTAATGTTTCCTTCTTAGCTGAAATGCAACTATGAGGAGGCGTTTTTCAGTTCTTTTGTTTCGAACCGGAAATCTATTAGCCATATAGTGAACAATAAGTTTGATTCTTTCCACTTTGAACCCTTTTCCTGCACTTTCGATCCCCCGGCCTCTCTCCGTTGACATTGATCCGTATCTTGTCTTAAAAACGTTATGTGCTCTTAGCTGCGCCTCCCCTCTCCCCCAGCCCCAGGTCGAGCCTTACACATCACAGGAACCATTCAGCCAGCCTCAGCTGATCCGTGCTAACTAATTCATAGATCTTTCCAGGAAGAGCCCAGGAAACCAATGGATGGTAGTTGCCATGGCGATTCACGTGAAAGGGTGCATGTGTAAATGCCTGGCTTTGGAGGTTAACAGCCAGTGACATGTTGAAAAGACCTAGTTTGTCTGGTCCTTCAGGGATAAGGTGAATGATAATGCTGTTGCCACCTTCTTCTATAGCTGGGGCCCTTTGATTATCTGTTTACCCCACTCTGGTCACATCAAGGTAATTATTATAAGTGTGTTCTCTTCTGTCGTTTGATGAATAAAGCCACCGTATCACACCTGCAGGAGGTGGGATGAACATCGAAATATAAGCATATGCATATGTTTCAGGCCATACTGGGGAGAATGGGCCTCATTCACGAACGGTTCTTAGGAACAGATTTGTACGTAAATCCTACTTACGAGGTTTTTACGAAGAAAGTGGCATTCACGAATTTTTCTCGTAACCAGAATTTCTCTTGGGCAAGTACAAATCCTACGAGTCCTCAGGAGCACTCGTACGCATTCAGTGCCGACATGTTCACACGCCGGGGTTGTCCTCTTTGGTGAAGTTTAATAAAAATACAACATTCCAGTCATATTTCCGTCATATCGATGTATGTATTTATTTATTTGTAGTAATCTTTATTAGTAATCTTTATTTATATACCGCCTTTTTCACTGCAGATCTGGCCTACTTTTTAATTCATTTTGAAATGAAATGTGCCAACGCTTTATCAAATACATTGGAAATCTTGCCGTGTATTAGTGACCCCTTCCTATTTATAGAGGGCATTTCTTTATCCACGGGCCACAGAACAACGGCATATATATACTGCTGCTGCAGGAGGTTACTGGGTCCTCGCTGAGTCTCTGCGCTGGTCTCTCCTAGGATCTATACAGGTCTGCACTGGTCTCTCCCATGGATCTATACGGGTCTGCACTGGTCTCTCCCATGGATCTATACGGGTCTGCACTGGTCTCTCCCATGGATCTATACGGGTCTGCACTGGTCTCTCCCATGGATCTATACGGGTCTGCACTGGTCTCTCCCATGGATCTATACGGGTCTGCACTGGTCTCTCCCATGGCTCTAGACGGGTCTGCACTGGTCTCTCCATACGGGTTCGTGCTGCATGCTCCTGGATCCATACGGGTCCGCGCTGGTCTCTCAAGTCTGGTCTATGCGGTCTCTCCTGGTTTCTGTGTGCTGGTCACTCCAGTCTCTCCTCGGGTCTGCATTGGTCTCAGCGCTGGTCCGCGCTGGATCTCCTCCCAGGGTCCAAAACATTTTGAGATTCATCTTTAAAATAATACATAATATATTTTTAAATTAAGCTCATGCCATTTTGAGATTAATCTCATCATATTCTTAGATTAATCTCATAATTTTGCTAGTTCGACTTTATTCTCATAATATTTCGACTTTTAAGTCAACATTTTATAACTTTCTGGCAAAAGAAGAAAAAAGGGTGACTCTTTTGCTCCGTGTAACTCTTTGCTTTAGGCCTGTTGCTGTTTCCTCTGCCGTCTGCACACGGCCCTGCAGTCCCTTTTATGGGCATTAATGGGCGGTTACTTATGCTAAGTACCTATGCTAATGAAGCACCTGGCACGCGCGCTCTACTTACGAGGAAATGGGATTCATCAATCTGAGAGAACAGCTGCGAACAATTCAGCGGCTTACGGGTGCGTTGATGAATCCCACGTAGGGACTTCTTAGAAATCTACTTAAGGACAACTTGAGAAGAAATTTGAGAAGTTTCTTACGAAGTTATTCGTGAATGAGGCCCAATGTTCTCAAATAAACATAGTGTAGCGTAGCAAGGGAAAAGCCATTTTATGTCAATTTAAATGCATTTTACTTGACAATTATCCAATAAAAATAGCTTTTTCTATTCCTTCTCTATAGTCTGCCATAGAGGTGGATCAACAATACAATCATAATCATTTTCCAGTTCCCAGACGCGTGAATTTTCTACCAAATAGTTCACATAGTTTAGATCCTCCTTCTCCAGACCATAATGCATTCACAACTCAGATATGCAAGGTGGAAGAAAAAACACTTTGTCTATGGTTGTATTTTGTGAAACATTGCATTTACAGTTAGACGGTAAACTTATTATGAGCACAGGTTTTGGAATTTGACTCTTTTGAGGCCATCGTCTCTTCTACATATTGTCAGAAAGTCAAAACACTTTTACTTATAGGTCAATCAGGCAACCACTTTTGTTTGTTTTTGGTCTCCTTGAATTTCAAATTTGGTCTTATAATATTTAAAGCTGCGGTACCAAAATTTCAAACTAGCTAGAGTTATATGTTTCAAACTTTGATTTCCACCCTTGTTTAGACCAGTTACAAGATATATTGTTTTCTAATACGGGAAAGCAGAAAAGTTATTTATAAAACCAAAAACTTAGGTCCCTCAGCGTTAAACGGCCCACGCAATAGCCTAAGAAATAAGGCTGTAGATACAATGGAGCACCTTTTGTATCATACAGCTGAATGTACCATGAAACCGCTTTTGAAGTTCGACCGCATTCTCGGAGCAAAGTTTAAGCCACCGCTGCATGTTCTCCACAATTAGATTAGAAGCCGGTCTGACTCCCACTTCCATTTTTGTCAAAAGGTCACATGGAACTTATCAAGTCATGAAGAGTTATCTACAGAGAGCAGCTGCCAGCGAGCTATCAGATGAGCGAATAACCTCCAGCCGACGTGTCTTAAGTATTCCTGCCCCGTCTCACAGCCCTCGTCACGTGGGAACCAGGATAATGCGGCCCTTCGTTTGCTTGCCAGTCACAAATGGCACTCTTTAATGACACTTGGAAGGTTCTCGTTCTGCCCGGCTGGTTTTCCTCACAGCAGACAGAGCTCATTTGAAATTAATTCCCGCCTGAAGTGTAATCAAAAGTGGCCTTGATGTAACAGAGAGCCTGCCCAGTGGGAACTCGCGGGTTTGATTTACCGTAGTAGTGATGATGGGGTTATCGCTCTTGTTGCTCGTGTCGCTTGCTGTCATAATTGGCTGCATGATGCAAGAATAACTAAGAAGTATTGAGCTAAATGGATTCTACTGTTTTTTGGAAATACAGAATGTATTTGAAATACATGTGAACTATCTCATTTAAAACACAAAACAGGACATTAATGAAATTGTTGCAGAAACGTTTGACATCCTTGGCTCTGCTTCCAAAGGAAATTCCAAGGGGAAAAATTTAATGCGATTCAACATTTATTTCTCTTTAGTATTGTACTAAAGCTGGGGTACCTAGCTTTAAAATTACATTTATTGGAACAAGGTAATATAATCCAATTTGGTCACTTCACTTTCACATGCACGTATCTGTCTGTCACATCTTTTTTGACAGCCGATCAGCTTTCAGCGCAAGGCGTCAAATGGTGCCTCATTCAAGTATGCAATATATTTAATGTTTTCTAAAAAGACAAGGACGACATGTCGTGGTCTGATGTGTGTGGTTTGTTATTGTACTTGAACAAAACTCTTTCTGTTGAGGCAAAAACATAATTTAAGAAAAAGGACAAAGTTAGGAACCCGAGCTCTATGTATTTGAAAAGCTTAAGAATACTTGGGTGTCTTCCCCAGAACAAGACCACATCCCGGTGATGCGGGGACAGTGGTTCATCGACGGCTCCTGGCTGCCTCTAGATGAAGACGAGAGCGACTTGATCGAGCAGGAGCACCTCCGGCGCTTCAGGGGGCAGCAGATGCAGGACACACTGGAGACCGATCAGGTGGTCAGCACGGTCGACCGCAAAGACGGTGAGATCACAACAAGCTGTGTTTAACCATGTGATAAAATCAGTGATGATGTATCTAGAACTGATTGAAATGTATTGTTTTGATAATCAATTGGTCTTATTTTTATTCATATATAACTCATCTAATGTATCAGTGCAAAGTGGCGTCGGGGTCAGAGACAGGTTTTCCTCACAACCAAGCATAAGGATTTCATGGATTAAATTGACTTTGCCTTTTACATCTTATTTCTTGTATGTTTATGGATTTTACAAAAACATGACCTATTCTTCAGTATAAAGTGTGATTCAATATTGAGTTTTGTTAACTGTCTGGACAGTAAGAACTTGCTGCACCGGTCGTTGCTTTTACTTCACAGTTGTCTGTTACTTTGTTGTGATCTTAAAAATCCCTAAATAAATCCAAACTAAAATGTTGTTGTGATTTTAAGATGAGAAAAACAGGCACTGTATTTTGAGACTGTAAAGAAGTCCACAGTGTTCCCGATCATATTTCCAAATTCTTAATACCACGCCCCTAAAGGCGTACATGTTTTTGAGACTGTAAATAGAACAATTATTCGATTACTAAAAATACAGTCCCGTGCACTGTCCTTGCTTTAGTAAACGCATTCATAAATTGTGAAGTAAAACGATGACTAATGACTCTTAGTAATAAGACTGAAGTGGAGAGCATTTACAACAAGAAATTGGAAGATGTGAGGAAGACGCTGCAGGCAGTTTACTCGTATTCAACACACCCTTCGTGAGCGTACCGTGTCAAAAGCTAGACGCCAACATCGGTTGCATTAGCCAGCGAAAGGGGAAGTGTGTGTTCATGGAGCAGGGGAGGATTCAGACGGACCAAGGCTTTGTTTATCACAGGTGCAGCTCGTGTTGTATTTTCCAAGGCCGGGCAGCTCGCGTCTAGCTTTGATAATGCTCCTTTTTATTCTGCGATTCCTCGTGGCAGCTGAAGTCTGTGGTGATTAATGCCTGTGTGTGCGCGCGTTTGTGTTTATGTCTGTGTGTGTGGGTGTGTGTGTGTGTGTGTGTGTGTGTGAGAGAGAGACACTGAGTCAGAGGAAGGTGCCACACAAATGTTTAAACACTGACGCTCAAGCTGAACACCAATGAGCAATACAAGTCAACTGGGTCATTCACACTAAATAGAAGTTATTTATAGACTAAACAGTGACACATTCATTTAAAAAAACATTTGGTATGGGAGCAGATATTTTGTATTAAATTATGGATGAAGTGTAATCCATTATCACCTAGTAACCGTATTAAAAAAGATTTTCTTGATGATCCTTGATTAGTGCAAGAAACCTGGAAAGTAGTGTAGTAAACAGAAAACTTTGGAAAACAAACTCTCATAAACCCTAAAATATATTCAGCATTATGTTTACTGTATTCTTCTCCTGTTGACAACATATTACCAACATCCAGATAGTAAGATGATGGCACTTTGAGATTACAAACTTGTTAGACTGCATTATAGTTTGTTAGGTCATCTTTATTCCATTCTAAAATGTCAATGATTTGTGTGGCCTTGTATCTTAAGCCTCAACTCTATTCGGCTTTATGTCCAAACCATTAAGTCCAAGTGTATTTTTAATAAGTGCATAAATATTGAGCTGCATGCACTTATCTCTGCCTCTCACTCTTGGGATTTGCCTTGTCTCACAGATAGTAAAGGTTACTAAAGAGGAAAACCTACAGTACATTTGCTACTGCTGCCATAACCAGATTGTTAAACAAGTACATGGAAGTTGACAGTAGTAGTAGTGGTAGTGGTAGTAGTAGTAGTAGTAGTAGTGGTAGTGGTAGTAGTGTGATATATTGTCAACAAAAACTTGGGTGGGGCAACCTGTGGCACTTTGGCCTTAACAACATAGAGCATTAAGCCCCCTAGTCACAACATTATTGCACATATTTGCCTATTAATGCAAGAAAGAACTTGAAACAGCCCTGAATTGGCGTCTTGTGTGCTTTGTGTGCCTTTATTCTGCGCTGTCAAGATCGTCACGTCACTTCAATGGCCCATAATCTGTCATCTCCTCCTTGTGCTGATGTGCGACAGCCTCATCACGGCTGTATCTGCGCTCGGGTTAGAAATATTTCTCTGCTGCTTTTAAGAAACGAGCTGAAAGAGGAGTGAGAGGTGGCACTGCCTGCTCCCAAAAACACACATGTGTAGATGACACACAAAGTAAATGACAGTAAACTTTGAGTGAGACAAGTCAGACAGAAACTCTGCTGTAGAGTTTCTCTTTTTGCTTTGAATATTTTAATAATGCAAAAACATTGTAATCTGTTTTGCTATTAATTTGTTTTAGGTTGTATATTTGTCGGTTTGTGTCTTTCTTATTTTTTTAACAAAATAAATATTCCTATGGGACAAAATTCATCCTCACAGATGAAAGTGAGGTTCGGAGGTCTTTGCAGTGTAAAGATAGATTACATAGATTGTACACATAATCTATTAATTCAGTTGTACATAAACCTTCTATGACACTTATGAGGTGACTAAAAGTTTATTGAGCTGGTGTTCATGACATAGTTGCAGTTTTTAAGATGGATTACATAGATTGGGAAAATTATTATATTAATTATATGTTGTTTTATTCTGTGTAGGGTAAAACCTAGCATATGAGATGTTGGGACACCCGGATGGACCCCATCCCTGTTGTTAGGGCCACATGATGTACAAAAAACAGATGAAGCGAGATATCAGCGGCAAGTAAGGGCGGAGGTCCTGCCACTGGAGGCGGCAGCCACCTCAGCCAACACCAGCGAGGCGCCGCCGCTCAGCCTAGCACCAGCTGCAGCGCCACCTGCCTAAGACCAGCTGGCAGCCGGCCCAGCTAGACCAGGCAGTGCGCCGCGCCCTCGCCTAGACAGCCGCAGGCGGCGCTGCACCAGCCGTAGACAGCCGCAGGGACGCCGCGCCAGCCTAAGACCAGCCGCCAGCTGACTCCGGGAAATGGAATGTGGACTCTGCACATTCTAGCGAGATGTTATCAACATTCTTCTTAAGAAAGACAGCTGAAGCGTGAGTTGATACGTAGGATGAATCGGACTTTCTGAAGTGGTGATGGGATAAACAGTGATGTATTCCCGGGGGTTCCGAAACTTTGCATTTGTTCCAGACACTTCTACTTACTAACCAGATCTGCCTCAAGGTTAAGAATGAGACGCTCTCCCCTTCCAGCTTGTACTATTGACTTTAATGGCCTCAGATGGACTTCCAATACCAGCCTCAGCCATCTGTTTAGAGTACTTAGGACAACCGTCGCGATGCCTTTCCTACTTGGTGTGATGTACGCACAGCATGTGTCCATTGGTGCACTGGCCAGTGGGAATGCTTAGTTGACAGTATGCACACTGTTTGTAGGAGTCATTTCGGGAACAATGTGGCTGCCATTGTGGATGCTTGAGGTGTTTCATCGAGAACCTTAAGGTACTAGCAAGGGCAAGACTTTTTCTCAATACAACAGCATACATTTGAAATAACTAGGTGATCACGCCCCAGGGTGTAATTTCCTTCATATCGAAGGCGTGGGGGGGCGCTCACAAGCGACACAAGCAAATACCGAGCAAGTGGTTTCCTGACAAGCTGTTAAGGTGACATTGTGCTGGAGATAGAGGCTTTTATATATAGAGAACATGTGGGCATGTTGTGTGCTGAAGTGAAAATACTACATTCACAGGGGGTCGTGCTCAGCTTGAGGAAAGATGTGGAGGAGACTAGGGCATAGCACATACAGAATTCAAGTGGAGAGGGTGATCGGTTTGTTGTGCGCAACAAATTCAAATTTTACATAACTGTTCCTGTGCACAGCTTGTCAAAGGTGGAGGGTGAAACAAAATGCCTTTGGCTAAGATTGTCATAGTTTGCTGTGCCTTAATCGAACATGTGCAAAAGTGTTGTTTGAGTACTATTCTTTACGTAACTTTTATTTTTAAAATAAATGCATGAAAACATTGATATGGTTAAACAAACATTTATTGAGAAAATGAATATTTTTTTTGTTACAAAGTGTGCATTCAAGTACAGTTTAGAATGTAACATGACAGCATAGGCAAAAATGGATCATAAGAGTCATCCTTTTTCTAGTGAAAGGGGACACAAAACACTGTGCAAAAAAACGTGTGCATTCAAAGTAATGTTTCCATGATGTAAACTGCACAACATAATAAATAAATAATAACATAAATAATAATAACAAATAAGACTGTTATTAGTGCAAAGTACAAAAAAAACACTGCAAAGGCAACAGAGCAATAACAATAATACACTTTTAAGAAATAAGGAATAAAACCTATTCTGCACAACAAGGGCCAAATCTGGCGTTGGACACCAGTGCGGGAGCTCGTATGGGTCGATGTTTGATGTCGCAAGTTCTCCAATAACCTCAGTTTTGCGCTTGTGTATGAGTTGTTCTGTTACGGTCCCTTTCTTTCGCCTTATCTTAAGCATTTGTTTTTATGTCTTCCTTTCCTTGTTGTATAGTAGATCCGTCCTGTCGCCGAAAAGCGTAAATGGTTATAATTTAAAGTGCTTTGGATATGAGGAGCGCGTGAATTCTGGGGGGTGCCCCGTTGCGCAGCCAATATGTCGTACAGGCTCAGAGCCCCCCCATATCCTCCCAATCGGCACGTGACTCCTCATTCTCATATAGAAAGTATTTTCATTAAACAACTGCAGTTCATGCAATTTTATATGTTCCTGCATTAACATGTTTCATTTCTTAATTTTTTTGCACAATTCTGAGTGTTTCTATCCATGGCAAATGTGAATGTAAATGTCTCTGTTTGAGATTAATAAAGCATATCTTCTTATTTGAGGTCAGTTCGATTAAAGGTTAAATTTTTTAGATATTATTGAAAATTAGCCCATAACACCAAAAGACAACAAAGAGTAGGCTCTGAAAACAGTCCTTGCTTTTGCTTCCCCGTAGCGCGTGCATGTGTGTGCGTGTGTGTGTGCGCGTACCTGTGTGTGTGTCGTTAAAGCCT